TAAGTGTATAATATTATTGAAGTCAAAATGGTGGTGTCTATGAACTTTTGGCCGTGGAGTTACACATCAAAAAATCCGTTCACCAGACCTATTTATAACGTCGTCCAATTTTAAAGCCCGACATTTCCAATGATGACTAGGCACAATTATAAAGAACAGTTTTGGAAGGAAGATCCAAGAACATACACAAATTAGTTCTATAAWATGTGCAATATTTATGTCATTTAAAGTATTTATAATCAATGGTAGTATTCAGTACTATTATAGTAGCACATGATGTGTTTTTTTTTTTGTGAGAGCTCCTTGATTTCTTTTCTGATGATTACTACYATAATTGCAGTAAATGGTGATGTAGTGGTCATAATAATGGTGTACAAAACTGAAGAATCCTCAAATGTCTGAAAAAGTAAAGCTATAGCGTAATCGAAAAATAAAAATATGTGCCTACTGGAATAGAGTTCAGAGTTCTCCCTGCAATAAGTTCCAATTTTACCTCATTATCTTCACGTCTGTTTATATTTATTATTCATATTTTTTTCTCCATAAGTGAGTAGGTTTGATATTCTGCAGTTCGCGGTATCGTTTAGACAGCGGCCAGCCAGTGAGAGAAAAAAAAAGAGTAGTAGAAGGGTGAGCGAGAGACAGTGACAGATGTGTGAATCTTGTATATAACTATATACTGTATAGTGTGTATAATTATAATATATACTCTGTCCTACAGCAACCACATACCCATACAGTATAATAATAATATAATTACAATTTACACTTATTAGACTCTAAAAATCGCACGAACCGCGGCTAACGAAATATTATCAGCTTAGTGCGATAATTAATGCGCGAGTTCTAATAACGAAATCTTCGTCATCGTCATTAACGGCGAAGACGACGAGTATATAAGTAAAAATACACTAAATGTAAATAGGTACAAGGTCGCCGCGTTCTTGTCGCCGTCGTCGCCATCGTCGTCGTCGTCGTCCACTGATGGACCGCTCTCTACTATATTGTGGGTATAACGTCGTAGTGCCAAACTATTAACTAACTATTAAAATAATATTATTTATACTCGCTACTTAACTCGTATCGTTCTACGCGCACAATAATTTTATAATTTTTATAACGCTCTGATAATATAGATGCACAATATCAATCTCTTTCACTCTATCACTGTCTCTCTGTTTCTCTCTCTCTATCTCTCTCTCTCACTCTCTCTCTCTCTCTCTTTGTGTATTTTGAGTATCTACCACCGTCACTGGTATAATAATGACAATAACGAATGTATAACGAATTAATAATGATAAATATTATGTTTAAATGCTTATTCTATACTGTAATACCCATAAACTCGCACACGTCAGTACGTCACTGTAAATATTGACGTACCTACCGTTGACAGCGACTGACATAATAATGTTCGTATCTGATTGTATAGGTTATAAGTACAATAATTAGGTGTATTAAAAATTTCTTAACACGTTTTTTTCCACCATCCAACTATTATGAAATATTTATGTATATTTTTTTWAAATCAGAAATACAATTTATGCAAATGTTGTTTTTATAGGTGATTTTTTTTTTATACAAAAAGTAGCCCATATATATCATTAAATCGTATCATTACTATACATACAAGGCAATATTTACCACAGTTTTACATATATAGTAAGACGGCTTAGGAAAACTTTTTAAATATTCGTATTATAAAGTAAAAACATAAAGTAACTGTTTTTTATTATTATTATTATTATTTAAACGTTGTTTATACAATAAGTTTCAATAATTATTCAATATAATGTAATAGTTGTTTATAAGAAAAGAAAAAATAGAAACAATATACAATAAAATTAAAAAGTCAGTATGGTTAAAGGAAGATAATATATTTAATGTGATATTTTTTTGTTGATTTGAGAAAATGTTTATAGAATCGAAAGGGATATTGGAGGGGTTCAAAAGAAACAGTAGGTGGTCACGATGAGTTTATAAGCTGAGATAGATAAATAGTAAGTCAGTAAGTGGCTGATATCACAGACCGTTGGATAATTGTGCAGTGTGCAGAGAGTGGAATTATTCAATGACAGTTCTATGGAATGAGAGGAAGTCTTGTGTGCCCAAATCAGAGACTGGAGAAAGATATAATGCATCTCCTAGAAAGATTGAGGTTGTAGAACCAAAGTAGTTTTGGGAAGGTTGAAGATATATCTCTATACTAGGTAGCAAAGTGAGGAAAGAGTGAACTCCAGTGTTTGAGCCAAAGATTGGATGTGCAAGTCCTAAGGATCAAAGTCAGACCTTAGGATTTTTGTATTTGAAGGGCAACTGAGTGAGGCAGAAGAATTGGCAAGCTTATCAGCGAATTCGTTTACCGCTACGTTTACTACCTAGTGTATCCGGATGGCGAGTACCCATATAAATTGATATCCGTGCCAGATTTTATTAGGGAATATAAAACATGTCTGATAGTGATTATGATGAGGGGAGAAATATGTGATTATGATTAATATCGAGATTTTAAAATAATATAAAAGGAATATTTTTTAAATAGGTTAGGTATAAAAAGGTTTATATAGGTTCTTAACTACCATTTTATTGTCAGGCTACAATTTTTTTTTATGGGATTTATGGTTTAAAATGTTTAAATATTGTGATTAAATTTAGCGTAGGTTTAATGCGTCACAATATGGAATTTTTATTTTTCTTCTTTAGAATTTGCACTTAATAAATTTTGTTTGACGATTTTTTTAAGAACTATGATCTTGTAAAATCATATTGAATTTAATATAATATATTAAACTTATTAAGAAATATTAAGCAAAACGTTAACATGTTATATAAGATATAACATCAACAAAACCTTCATTTGCTAAAACTTTATAATACGACATATATATTATTATATTAATTATAATTTATAATACCTAGGTTTAAGACAAATTATTATCGAATATACTATTTGTTTAAACAAAATGTTTTTATTTATTTTGTGATGATGGTTCCTTAATTGTAATAAAAAAAGAACAACATTAAACATAGCAAGTGCATTGTATATTATTATATTATGCTGATTCTATATATGCCTATCAAGAGTCAATTTTTGTGAGTTTGTATAGAGTTAAAATTTTTTTTGAAATTTACATGTTTCCAAGTACATAATAGATGCACAAAACTATGCCAATTGTAGAAAATTAGTTATAAATTATAATATATGCTATAAGGTTAAAAATACAACACATAATATTACGCAATAAACTTATTAGTTAGAATTCTCGTTTTTCAATGTTAAATAATTTGATAATAATTATAATATTATGAACAAACCGATATTATAGCATAGTTACTTTATAGCCGTAAAAAGTAATCCAATTAGTTATTTAACTTTGAAAGGTACACATGTTATAGTGATAGATTGCTGTAGATTATTACACGGCAACGTGTTGAGAACTGCAATCGGCTCACTCTCACTCTTTCTAACGCCACCTATTCAATATTATGCATATGTAGGTACTGCTTTGTCAAACTATTTAGTTAGGTACATCGTACATCGTATATAACTGTGAAAAAACTGCATTGTGTGAGTGCAACGAACACGCCAAAGCCAATTACCACAAAACTAAAACATAAAATATCATTTGAAAATAAACTCGTTTTAATAATTTGTAGGTATCGTTAACTCAAACACGTGGTCACTGTATTATGCATTATTCATTTAATATTTTACATCCTTATGTTAATCGTGAATAATAAGGGTACTATTATTAGGCAGATAAAGTTATAGTTCACATTATAATAATTTTATATTATGTTTAATTTACGGACAAACGGGCATACCGATATTCAATATAATATAATTATGAAATAACAAGGTTGAAATACCTCCTATAACATTTAACTACACTCGTCTACATCCGACATAAAATAAAATATATAAAATTAAAAAACAAAATAATATATTAATGTAATATAAATATCTATGTATATATATTATATATATATTTATAGCTACTTATAATTACAATTTATAAAATTGGAATATATTTCCGTACATTAGAAAATAAGTGAATAAAAAAGTAATGTAATGTTGGTAATACATATAACACTAATTTGCTGACAAACCCATATGCTAAAGTTTTCACAGATGAAATTATTTTATTTATTCGTTGTTAATAATATGGTAACTATTTGAAATTGTAAGATTATTTTCAAGAAAAAGTAATAAAGCCAGTAAGCCACATTTATTAATAGTTAATAGTTATAAAAATAATCATCAGAATTATAAATATATACATCAGTTTTTAAGTCTTTAACATCGTTTAGATATATGATATAGGTTTAAATATTTTTGAGTGTTTTAATGAATTTGCGGATAAATATAGGAGAAAAAGTAATGGTGATAATTAATGGTCATCTTGAAGGACCCCTGAAGTCGTAACTACGTGCCTATTGTCTTATGATAAATGTAGTTTTTGTATTTTACAGATTGGACTCTATTAGATAGAAAACACGAAAACCACAGTTATATAATGTGCCAATATAAAATAAAAATAATATACCCATATACATAATAATATTAATAACGATAATATTATAATATGCAAAAAACTTGATTCGACTGTCACTGATCGTTGTACAAGTAACATTATTATCATCGTCGTAGGTTAGGTTATCGGCAGCGTGTATTGACAAACATAATAATATATAGGTATTACCTATACATATGTGTATTAAAATCTCTCGGGAGGCCGATGCGGTCGCTATCTCGTAATCGGTCGGCTGTTGCTCAATCGTGAGCGGCGGCGGCAGACGCTATATGCGGTCTAATAGTATTAATATTTTACTAAATATACCACCATAATAATAATACAACGACGACGTGAAGGCTTAACTAGTGTGTGGCGGGGATGACTTTCGCGGTAACGCGGGACCGCGGGTAGAAGACTGTATGGTATACGTGTGCTGGATATCTACCAACACGTCCCCAAGACGACACGGTGTCCCCCCGAAAGCCACTCGAGGTGCCGCGTCGACGGCAGCGACTGGACCAAACGGTCGGCCAACAGTATACCGGAGACGCCAGCGCAAGCAACAGCAACAGAGCAGCACCGTATACCAGCAGTAGCAATTTATTACCTATATATACCAGTGACACTGCTCTCGACTACATACCAACGTAGATCGCTCGCCATAAATAATCAACATTTTTTATTATTGTTATTATCAATTTTTACTTTGATGAACGTATATTGTATGTAGAGGTGGTGCGTTATTCGTCGACGTTTCATTTCTCGTATCGCCACTACATTTTTCTCTGTAATCGCGGCGAGACCGGAAGCGTGAAAAATAAAAACTCGAACCGCCCCAACAGTGCAGTTCCGCGGGCGGCAATCCACACCCTCGCGCAATACTCTCGTAAGTGTCAACGACTTTTTTTTTACATGTTTGTATCATATAATACTAAAATAAAATACGTTTTTATTGCACTCGAAACTGTACAAATACAATTATAATTTATTACCACACACGATGCAGATATAATATTACAGCGGACTCACATATATCATATAGAATATTATAATCATTACATTATTATCACAATCATAATAACTATTATATCGATGGATTGGGATTTCTTATTTTTCYRGATAGCGTCATTTGCCATTTTCCATTCATCGTTATTGTGGTGATACGCCGACGATGAGGACCACTGGCAGCAGCAGCACGAGCTGCAGCGTCGTGGCTTTAATGACCATTATGCTGGTCGCAGCGACCGCGGCCTTTGAAGATTTCAACACACAGGTAAATAGTCATAATATTATCACCGTAAAATAATAATATCATGGCGTTGTTCGTTTTTATTATTACTATATTATGTAATTATTATTTAAGGCTAAATTGGTGGTGCATCATTATCCCATTGTCGTATATACTCGCACAATGTATATATAATACGTATATTTACATTGATGGTACGTGTGATACTATACACTTTTAACAAAAAAAATTATGAAGTATTAATAATATTAAAATGTATACTCACGGTGAGAAATCTCTTTGAAGAGCGTACCCATGCCAAATATAATAATAAAAATATAACAATAAACTAAGTATACGAAATCCACAGCAGCCCAGCGGATATACAAAACGCACTTAGGTAGTACGAGATTGTGCAAAGTTGGGTTTGTTGGATTAGCCTATTTATGAATTTGTATCGTTAGGCGCATCACCTACTTATCGYATTTTCGTRTTGGTCACAATATTATACTAATTTATGACTTTGGGCGACCGCGTAGAACAGTGCGTTGCACCAATGCACAAATGCACTATTTTACAGTATGGTAGATATAAAATGTAGGCATTATAATAATAATGCTAATATGCTGTTGGATTTTATTTAGCTATTTTTTTCGTATTTTGGAAAACTATGCGTGTGGGTGTAAACATTTTTGTATAGGCATTCAATGCATTATCGTTTCACTTTTATAGCTATTTCGAAAACCGTCTCTTTCATTCCCGACAATATCGGAAACACRAAACTAATGTGAGATATTAATTATTCATATTTATGTAAATGCCTATTTTATCTCGTTTGAAACCTAATTCAATTTCTTGCGTAATCTAATGGACGTCGTAATTCTGGAAAAAGGTAAACGTATAATATAATATCTTAATTAAAATATGTTATGATAATATTATACAGTATAAACTAACTTTAATATTATGAGATAATATGCGATGACAATGACACGGGCGCGCGATAATAATTCTAATGTTCAAGACGCGCGTGCGTAAAATAATATTATTCATCATACGACCAATGATATAATAATAGTAATAATGTATAATAATATCATCATAATATTCGGTGGCAGCGGTCATCGTCCGGCACGTTGGCGGTGACGAGAAGTGGCGGCGGTGCTACGCGATTTTATAACCGCTCGCTCTGGGTAAGTGGTTCAATGACGACCGCGGCGGAGACCCGCCGGTGCATAAGCGCGGCGGTGATCCAAGGTCGCCTGCCGGCTATCTGCCGATCTGTGATGACCCACATTCACCAAACCGTTGCGACGCTCTTCGCCGTCACCGTCATCGCAGCTCCTCGCTCCGCAGCCGGCCCTAAGCGATATATACCCAAACGGCGTCACTATCGCTTTCGCCGACCATATTTTATTGCTCACCGCTTGGCCAGCGAGCGGGTGATAATAATATAACAACATATTGTGTCCAGCGCCGTCGCTGTAGGGCAAACGATCGTGTTGGACGTCGCCCGAGGGTGGCAGTGCAAATAGAAGGGCGTCAATAATGAAATATTAAATTGTTATATAGGTAATATAAGTGTTGCGTTTTTTAATAATAACATGGCAATTCGTTATTATTATTACCTACGTATGATTATTGTCTTAACTGCTGTCAATGCGATTAGTAATCATTTCGATACCGTTCTTAATAATTTTGTTCGATTTTTTCTACGGCGATTCTAGGTTCTCACCTAAGGGTGGCCCTGAGTAATGATTGAGAGATATAATGTTATACTACAGAGTAGGTACCTGCATCATACACGCAATATAATAATATAAAAAAGGTGCATATTATAATATATAATAACTTTGCTAGGTACCTATATAGCCTATATAACACSTTGTGTATGTGGTCACATAATATTATGTATGTGGTATACGCGGTAGACTTCTATGAAGTTTGGATGCTTTATAAATTATAACATTATATGTAACATGTATATTATAATTTAATACGTTTATCGGAACATTTATCTCGTGATAAAATATAGTACCTAGTTCAAACATTTTATACTTGTGTTTTGAATAGGTAGGTACAGTTCAACGTGTAACAAAATAAGAAATTCTTAGTTACAAAGTAGAATAGAAAAATCTAGATAGTTATAATAGGTATGTCACGGCATTACGTAACKAGAACGATTCAACATAATATTGTGCTGAACATAATAGTTCTAAAGAATTTGAGATTTTGAACCATATTGCCATATTGGTTATCTAGGGATTTCCAAATTAATTTACCGACCAAGTCAGTAAGTCAACAGTGTATTTTAAATTAAAAATATTATGTTGAACACCAATGTGCAGTGAATAGGTAAAAATAACGGAATAATGGTTCACGTTCTTAAACGAGTTAAAATTCAATAAAAATGATTACAGTCATAACCCGTTTGTTAGCAAACCAACACGTTTTTCACCCAATGTTTGTACACTATACATAATAGTATAAAAAAAAATATTTAATGTATACAGAGACTGAAAGTGGACACTTGTCTCGCATCGATTACTTTTGCACAAACCTAAACCAGTGTTGTACGATTGTTTTAAATTTGAAAGCAAAATAATAAATCGACC